AGGAGCATCGATCGTAGTCGTGACAGTCGCAGCCTCCGTAGCGACCTGGGTGGTAGCATCAGAATCATCCTTGTCTCTACCGGGAGCTTCCCAAGCTGCCGTGCTGATGGTTACCTCGCCAGTCACAGAAGCTGCAGTAGTGACAGCAACCTCATCGGTCACAGCGGATGTACTGACCGGTAGAGGGGACGTGATAGTAGTAGGCTCAACAGGAGCATCGATCGTAGTCGTGACAGTCCCAGCCTCCGTAGCGACCTGGGTGGTAGCATCAGAATCCTCCTTGTCTCTACCGGGAGCTTCCCCAGCTGCCGTGCTGATGGCCACCTCGCCAGTCACAGGAGCTGCAGTAGTGACAGCAACCACATCGGTCACAGCAGCTGTGCTGACCGATAGAGGGGACGTGATAGTAGTAGGCTCAACAGGAGCATCGATCGTAGTCGAGGCGATGACAGTTGCCGTTTCAGTAGCGACCTGGGTGGTAGCATCAGAATCATCTTTGTCTCTGCTGGGAGCTTCCCCAGCTGCCGTGGTAATGGCCACCTCGCCAGTCACAGGAGCTGCAGTGGTAGCACCAACCTCATCGGTCACAGCAGCTGTGCTGACCGGCAGAGGGGACGTTATAGTAGTAGGCTCAACAGGAGCACCGATCGTAGTCGTGACAGTCGCAGCCTCCGTAGCGACCTGGGTGGTAGCATCAGAATCATCCTTGTCTCTACCGGGAGCTTCCCCAGCTGCCGTGCTGATGATCACTTCGCCAGTCACAGGAGGTGCAGAAGTGACAGCCACCTCATCGGTCATAGCAGCTGTACTGGCCGCCACTGTGGCATCGACAGTAGCTTCAGAACCGGTCGTACTCGTTGCTTCGGGAGCAGCTGTCGTACCTTCTTCGCTTGTAGCGGCCTCAGTAACCTCATCCGTCACTGCAGCAGAGGATGTGGAACCTCGGAGAGCTTCAGTCGGCTCACTCGTGCCGCAGAAGCACGGGGCATCCGAGCCGAAGCAAGTTCTTGGCGTCTTCCAATACTTACAATATGACCCAGGGTAAGTTGTCGCGCACTCAGTGTCGCAGTCAGTGGCGTTGCCCGTCACGAACTTGATGTCCTGGAAGGCACAGAGGGCGACGAGTACAGCGGAGAAAGACCGTGAAGCCATCATAGACAAATGCAAATGAGCGACGGGAAGCTGAGATTAACTTGATGATTGAGAAGACACACTACGAGTGTGATGTGCACAATTACCAACCTTACGAACTGTCATAGCATCCAGGGTCGTTTACCTCACTGACTGTTTCTTGTTTGTTGTGGCGAGCATACGTATCGCCCATTCGTTTCACAAGATACTTTGCTCAGTGCGGTATACACTCATTCTCCACGAAGCTCACAGGCTTTTAACGAAAGCCTCGTCGTGGAGAGGATAACGCAATTACAGAGCAAATCTTGTCCCGTGGACGTGGATTGTTTTTGAAGTTGGGGAGGTTGACGGTGGGTTTGCATTGAGAGACTGGCCCGGTAGATGATACTAAACAGTCATAGCTCCGCAGTGGGTATAGTCCATACCTAGTGGCAAGCAAATATAGGGATGGATTTCCCTTTGGATAGTATGACTCGTCCCATTAAAGTTGATGTTAGACACTTTGGCCGAGTGGTTGTGGCAGGAACATGGTTAACCGTTGAGGTTTGCATGCGTAGTTCAAATCGCCGAGATGTCGACGTCTGCGAACATCAACACGTTATTGCTGAGGTGATAAGACCAACTGCATTCTCATCGCCCATCTTCGTGAATGACACTAAGCCATTGAAATCAAAGGTTGCGATAAGGGGTGCTTGCACGGTACATTCACAAGGAAACTACAGTCGGTAGGTCCATATGAGTTCGGTGTTGGAATTGGTCGATCGAAGCTACGCTACACTCCTTCCCTGCCAAATCGAGGACTATCCTACCATGCTTGCGAGTCGCCTTTCTACTTACTCGAAACCTAAAGTGAAAGCGTTTACGAAGGACTGCTGCTTGTCGACCAGCATCATCCGTCATCGTGATGTTTCACTATATACTTGAAATGCATCATAACGACGCCGCCCATGAGCTGCATGAAAGAAGCTTATGCGATGTGAAAGCCGAACGACTCTATCGACGCAACTCTTTCGATCAATACTCATTCACTCGTTATCAAAATAGCATGCGATACCGCGGGTTAGTCAAAATGCGGTTCATTAAACACTTCTAAGCTTCATTCCAAAATGTCTTCACACACTCGGACTGGGGGTAGCCTGAGTATCGGTCACCTCTGTCGTTGTTGCTGGAGCTTCGGTGGTGATATCAACGGTGGTGGCGGCACTGATAGTCGTGACTGGGAAGTCAGCTGTAGTCGCGGCATTGGTGGCGACATCGTCTGTTGTAGTAGCAGCAAATGTGGTGGATGAGGCCTCTCCAGTAACATCTGGAGATGTGGTTACTTCCGAGGGAGCTGCTGCGCTGGTCGTTTGTGCAACAGTGGTAGGCTCGACAGGAGCGTCGGTAGTAACATCAGCCGCATCGGTTGTAGTTACAGTTCCGGTAGTGTCGACAGCAACAGAAGTGGCCGTATTGGTTTCTTCGGGGGCGGCAGTTGTGCCGTCCTGAATTGTGGTAGTCTCAGTGACTTCATCGGTGGCTTCACTTGGAGTAGTGGTAACTGGAGCAACCTCGCAAGTGCATGGCGCATTGGATGAATGACAGGTGCTTGGTGTAGCCCAGTACTTGCAGTAGGAGCCAGGAGTATCCGAGGCACAACCAGCATCACAATTACGGGGGGCTTCAGTTGTTCCACCCGACCCGCAG